ATGGTCCGCAGCAGCCCCTCGGGCAGACCCCGCAGCCGGTTCTCCGCCAGGTAGAGGTGCCGCACGTTGGAGAGCGGGAAGTGGTCCAGGAGGGTGAGGGTGGCGAAGGTGCCCGGGTGCAGCTGCTGGAGCAGGTTGCCCTCCAGGTGCAGCAGCCGCAGGGACGTGAGGCCCAGGAAGGCCCGCGGGTGCAGGAATTCCAGCTGGTTGTGGTCCAGGTGCAGCCGGACCAGGCTCCGCAGGCCCCGCAGGGTGTGGGCGGTGAGGACCCGCAGCTTGTTGTAGCTGAACTTGAAGACCTGCGGCGACAGGAGGCAGACGGGCGGGAAATCCCGCGTATTATTTTATTTTTTTTATTTTATTTTATTTATATATGTAGATAGCTACCCCATCTTTCTTTTAGTTGCTGCTTTCATGGAATATATTTTAATCTCTATTTTGAACCTATGTGTGTTCTTAAAACAAGTCAATCTCTTGAAGGCAGAATTTAGTTAGGTCTTGCTTTTTAAAAAAAAATATTTTTATTGATTTCAGAGAGGAAGGGAGAGGGAGAGAGAGATAGAAACATGAGTGATGAGAGAGAATCATTGATGGACTGCCTCCTGTACATCTCCTTCTGGTTATCAAGCCCTCAACCCAGACATGTGCCCTTGACCAGAATCAAACCTGGGACCCTTCAGTCCACAGGCCAACGCTCTGTCCATTGAGCCAAACCTGCTAGGGCAGGTCTTATTTTTTTATGAACTTACTATATCCATCCACTCTGTGTTTTTATTGGTTAATTACTCTCATTAATACTATTGATAATGCCATGTCTTTAATTGCTTTCTGGCTGTTTTTTAGTTCCCTAGTGTTTTTTTTCTTTTTTCTTTCTACTTTTGTGAACTGATGATTTTCTGTGGTGGCATACTTTGATTCATCTCTCGTTATCTCTTGTGAATCTACTATAGCTTTTTGTTTCCTGGTTACTACCATGAGTTGCAATAAAACATCCTATATAATAAAAGCCTAATATGCAAATTGTCCCCTCAATGGGGAGTTTAACCGGGAGTTCGACCCGGAGTTCAATCCGGGGGCCGAGGGGTGGGGACGGCCGGCCAACTGGGCCTCTAGTTAAAAATAAAATAATAAAATAAAATAAAAATACAATAATAAGATAAAACAAAATAAAATAAAAGAAAAGAAAAAATATTCTGCTAAGTGAACTAAGTCAGTCAAAGATAAATATCGCAGGATCTCACTCATTTGTGGATTATCATGAACCACATAAACCGATGAACAAAAATAGATCGAGAGACAGAGAAGCATCGATCAGACGCTCAAACCTCAGAGGGAAGGCGGGGGAGGGTGGGGTAGGTGTGTGTGCAGAGGACTCAGGACTGTGGCTGAGGCCATACATGCTGGAGAAAGGCTTCCACAGTTCCCATCCCAGCCCTGCCACCTGCCCACTGCCATACAGACAAGTGGTTTCCCCACTGAGCCTCAGGTTCCTCATCTGTGCAATGGGGATGAGGACAGCACCTCCCTCTGGGAGTCATTGTGAGGATTAGCCAGGAGCCCCCAGGAAGCACTCAGCACCTTGTCTTCCTGGGGTGAAAGCTCAACAAGCAGGTGGGGGTGTGTGGCAAACATATCATGACAATTGGAGGGCAAGGGGGGCACGGGCCACACTCTGCCAGCTGTTGACATCACTGTGTTCTCTATTGCCAGGTGGTTATTGGCGACAATCATGTTGCGAAAGACTTCTGCCCTTCGTCTGCTCCTCCTAAGCCAGTGGCAAGGAAAAGATCCTGCCTGGAGCCCCCTCCTTACACCCCTCCTTGCAGCCCCTGGCCCATCCTGGGCACTGGGCAGGACTCCCTGCCTCTCTTGGTCATAAAGCCATGTTTCCCACTGCATTTCCTGACTCTTGTTTCTTCATTGCTCATTGGAGGACTCCCCGGGGCTGTAAATCCTGAAAGCCCTCACTCCTGTGGGGGTCAGGGCAGGGCCTTTGAGGAAAGTAAAAGATGGCCAGTGTCCCACAGGGATGGGTAGAATGGGGGTGGAGCGCTGAGGGGTTTGGTTGCCGTGCCATCTAGGAGCTGAGCCAGTGCTGGGTGGCTCTCCCAAGATACTTCTCAGCCAGGCTGGGGGATGCCACACAACCCCCCTCTGGGGGAAGTTCTCATTGGGTGGGGGCTGGGGGTGGGGAACTGGCCCTCCTGCTTTGTTTGGATTCAGTATAGGGTGTGGGGTGGTGTGGGAGTGGGGTGGCTTACTAAATGAGGGTGATATCACTGATTCAAGAAATGGAGGACTGTTAAAAATTTAACTGAGTACATTTAAAGATGAAATTGGCTTTATTCATTGATTCATGAATCAGGCAGTATCCCATCCAGCAAATAGAAAGAAGCTCTGAGAAGCTGTAAAAATGGAAGGTGTTTATAGGCAGAATGGAGCAAAAGGAAGGTTCTAGCAAAGAATGCATTGCTTCAAGGGGCGGGGGGTCACCGTTTTTTGGAAAGGGTCTATCAAGAGGATTACCAGCCCTTGCTGGTTTGGCTCAGTGAATAGAGCGCTGGCCTACAGACCCATAAAATAAAATAATAAAGTAAATAATTAAAATAAATAATAAAATAATAAAATAAAATTAATAATAAAACAAATAAAAGAAAAGAAAAATATAAAATAAAATAATAAAAAAATAAAAGAAAAGAAAATATAAAATAAAATCATAAAATAAATAAAATAAAATATAAAATAAGATATAAAGTAAAATAATAAAATGAAATGAAATAAAATGAAACAAAATAAAATAAAATGCAGCCCTTGCTGGTTTGGCTCAGTGAATAGAGCGCTGGCCTGCAGACCCATAAAATAAAATAACAAAACAAATCATTAAAATAAATAATAAAATAATAAAATAAAAATTAATAATAAAATAATAAAATAAAAATTAATAATAAAATAACAACATCGATGACATCAATGCGGGCGTTACCTGGAGGGAGCGGAGGTCCCTGAGCGCCCCGTCCGGGATGCTGGGGATGTTGTTGCCGTGTAGCATCAGTAGCTCCAGCTGGGTCAGCCCCGCGAACGCGGTCTCCGACAAGGCCTGGATGCTGTTAAACCTGAAACCCGAACGCGCAGACGAAGACACAGTGAGCGGATTGACGCCAAAGGGCGACAGATATCAGAATCCGATTCCATCAACCCAGTCAAATTAGGCTTTTATTTGTTGTTCTTGTTGTTAACGCTCACGCAACATTCAAATCTTGCGTGAATATTGGGACGCCCTAGAGATAGAGAGATACTAGAGGCCCGGTGCACGAAATTCGTGCAGGGGTAGGTCCCTAGGACTGGCCGGCGATCAGGGCCGATCCGGGCCTTCCTTCAGTCCGCGCCGCCCCCTGGTGGTCAGCGCAGGTCCCAGCGAGCGGCCGAACTCCCAAGGGGACCATTTGCATATCAGCCTTTTACCCTATAGGATCTCAAATAGGCAGAATCGCAAAGAAGTCTCTTATCTCCTCCAAGCCACACTTGCTCCGTCCGGATACGTGAGCAAATGCCAGAGATGTTCCGCTGGTTGTTTTCATAGTTCTTTTTTTAAAAAAATATATTTTATTGATTTTTTTACAGAGAGGAAGGGAGAGGGATAGAGAGTCAGAAACATCGATGAGAGAGAAACATCGATCAGCTGCCTCCTGCACGCCCCCTACTGGGGATGTGCCCACAACCAAGGTACATGCCCTTGGCCGGAATCGAACCCGGGACCCTGCAGTCCGCAGGCCGACGCTCCATCCACTGAGCCACACCGGCCAGGGCTGTTTTTATTATTCTTTCATCGTTGCTGAATCAACTTAAGTTATATGATGGCCCTGGAGGGTGTTGCCCAATGGTTAGAGCACCACCAATGCACCAGAGAGTCTGGAATTTGATTCCCGGTCCAGGGAACACACCTGGGCTGCGGGTTCGATCCCTGGTCCCGGGCGTGTTCAAGAGGCAACCAATCCGTGTGTCTCTCTCTCCCTTCGATGTTTCTCGCTCTCTCTCTCCGTCTCTCTCCTTCCCTTCCATTCTCCCTAAAAATCCGTGGGGAAAATATCTTTGGATGAGGATTAACCATCCTATATAATAAAAGCCCAGCGACCGTAACGGTGTGAGGACCAGAATGACCGCTCGACCAGTCGCTATGAGGTCAAGGTCCCTCATAATCACCTCTAGGTCCCTCCCCTGCAGCGGGGCGGGACTGGGGACTGGCGACTGGGCGGAAGATGGCTCTCATTGCAAGCTAGGCCTGGGGCCCCTGCCCGTGCACAATTTCGAGTGCTGGGCCTCGAGTAATAATAATCCTATAGAATAAAAGGGTAATATGCAAATTGACCCTCACAGCAGAACGACTGGGAATGACTGGTCGCTATGACACACACTGACCACCAGGGGGCAGACGCTCAATGCAGGAGCTGCCCCCTGGTGGTCAGTGCGCTCCCACAGGGGGAGCTCTGCTCAGCCACAGGCCAGGCCGATGGCTGCCAGCACAGCGGTGGTGACGGGAGCCTCCCCCGCCTCCTCAGCAGCACTAATGATGTCCGACTGCAGCTTAGGCCTGCTCCCCGCTGGCAAGTGGACATCCCCCGAGGGCTGCCGGGCTG